CCGGCGTGCGGCAGGCAGACGGCGGAGCGGGTGCCGCGTGAGTACCCCGCAACCCCGAGCGCCTGCCCTGGTCCCCCCGTTCCCGCGGCGCGGCAGCCGGACGCAGCTTCCCCGGGGCACGATGCGGCGTTCCCTCCGCCGCGGGGCTGGCAGGCAGCCGCATCTCCCGCGCCGGCCGCTTCGCCTCCGCGAATAGCTGAAGCGCGCAGGGTCTTCCTTCCTTCCTTTCGGTTCACTATCTCCCCAGTGCCGAGGGACATCCGATGCGCCTTTTCCCGGAGGCTGCGTTTGCGCGCCTCAGTGTCCTCACGACTGGGGGCGGTGCGGGTGGGGGCAGGGGCGCACGTCTGCGACACGTCCGTGCTAAAACGGTGCCGGTGTCTGCGGCGGCGGCCGCAGGCGGAGGTTCCTCTCCTCCGCTTGTCCCTCTGCGCGCATCCCTTCTGAGGATGTGCGTGGCCGGTGCGCCCGCCGATCGAGTTCAAGGGCATGGAGGGGGTGCCTGGGGAAGCGGCCTTAAAAACCGAGCGATGCTGCTGCCGAGGTAGCTGGGGGGAGGGGGCGGAATGAGATGCTCCGGCTCTCATTCATTCTCTCCTTCCATCGTTCTGAGTTCGTGTGACGCGCAATGTAGGAAGACCAAATTCTCGGATGAGGACATTCTCCGAGTGTGCAGAGTTAAGGCTAGCGAGGCTCAGAGCAGTGGCCAGCGGATCGGGAAGGAAGAGGGCGCAACCATCCTCCCAGGTTTCCTCATGCGTGTGTTAGGAAATGCAATGCAGAGCCCTCAAAGTAGATTTTCTCCGCCAGTGACAAGGGCGTGTGGCATTGCAGCAGGCAGGTGTCGAACCGAAAGGGCCTGAAGCTGCTGTGCGGGCAGCGTCAGCCGTAAACCGCGAACATCTGGAAATGACTCCAGCGTGGAATGATGAAATCTCCCTCCAAGTTGCACTCAAAGATGGCTGCTGTGATGAGGAGGCTGCCTCAGCAAGAGGCATCACCCGTGAGCGGTGGTTTTTGTTGCTAGGCTACATCGGGACGTATAGCCCCCCTTTACATAAATACGTCTCTTGCAATGTTAATGCTTCATACCCCACCGAGAGAGGTCTTCCGTTGCTGCTGTTGGTGCTGTGTGGGAACATCCGTTTCACAAGCAAGCCTGCTGAGGCAGATAAATGCCAGTAGAAGCAGGTTTTCGGGGAAATAAGATTGGTAATGGCCCCGAACCCCCCACCCCCTGGATGTCCGGATGTCCTAGTGGGTTCTAGCTAGCCTGGGGCTGCAGGACCAGAGAATACACAAGACAGTGACACAAATGGAGTCTGAAATCCACATCTTCCGTGTTCAGAATGATGTCTCCAAACTGTCATAGGTGAAGATTTGTGTGAGAAAATGAGTAGAAATGGAGAGGCTACTTGCATAGGAAACAGTGGGTTTTGCTACATCTGCCATGGGAGCTGTTGCATGATCCACCTTATTCTTGCAGCAACCTCATGTAACCTTTCCAGTGTTACTGAATTTCTTTTTTGTTTCCTTTTTTTTTCTGTCCATAATGGAACTCAGTGGTAATTTGTAAGGGCAATTCTTATTATTGATTTAATTTGGCCTTGTAATTTTCTCATTCCTGTGTCAGTGTGGCTAAAGTGCACTAAAGTGATACTTTGACAGTGGTTTTCTGAAATAATTACCAGGAATTTTGAAAATCTTCACTCACCTTAGTCAGAACTAGAGAAGCACAAATTTGGTTAAATTCATTCCATTTCTCTTTTGTGGATGGACCGGCATGTATGTTCCATTCTCTGTTGACTGGCATCTGTGGCCCCTTGTCTGCTCATTACTAGAATTGATTTTTTTAAAACTGGAATTTTGTTCTACTTGCACTGCTTCTGATTAGCACAAACTCCTCCCTCCATGACTTGGAAAAAGCTGTGCCACTGCAGGATCTGCAGCACAGAGTCATTAAATCCAAGCTTATCCAAATCTAACTGGATGGCTTATTATTTCAGATTCTTCCAACAAACCAACAAGGAGCAGTTATTAAGAAATAATAATTCATCCAGTAAGATTCATTGGAGGGACAGTCTTCCATGTCGGATGTATTGGATATTATATTTGATCATCCTCTTCTCCTGCTTTCAACTTTTCATAGCATAATTGTCTTCTCTGGTGAGTCTTGTCTTCTCATGATGTGCCTGAATGTGGATTAAATACATACATGCATAAGAATTTACGGATTGTGCTAGACACAGCACAATGACAGTCTGGTATATAGAGGGGAAGGCCCAAAGAGCCATAAAATGACAGACTGAGGTTCCATGTAAAGCTTCAGATAAGCAAAGCAAACTGATGGCATGCGCCATTATTAATTATCTGTGCAATTTGCATTGCCTTGTTTGAGCAGCCTTTCCCAACCTAGTGCCACACAGAGGTTTTTAGACTATAACCCTCAACATTCTAGCTATACGTGCTGGAGCTGATGGGAATTCAAGTCAAAACCTCTGGAGGGCACCTGATTGGGGAAGGCTGCAGTTGAATTCCCCAAGGGAATAACTCATTCATATCCCAAGGTTGGGTTGAAATGAGGGTGATTCAGAAAGTAATGCCATCTTTCAATGTAGACCAGGGGTTGCTGTTCGTGTCCAAAACACTGTCACAGTATGGGATCATTCTGCAGTGGAATTTAGGATTATAATTAGTGAATGTCCTCAGTGCAGCTTTCTTCCCCAAGAAATGCTACCTGGGTAAGGGTGAATGCCTATCCTCAGTGCCTGTGCCAAGAATGTAGGTGTACCTCCCAAACCGGATCATTTTGGTCCATGGCTGCTCTCCAGTGAAATTGCCTAAAGGGAATGCTGAAGTATGCATTTTAAGGAAATGGTAAAAAGAAAATTACTCTCTGTTAGTCATTGTAGCTGGAACTATGTTAAAAAGGGGATGGTTTTATTTAATATTAGGTAAGGAGCATAGACTATTTTATAGTCAGTGCAGCTGGACCTTTAGCTTTGATGTTGCTATTATGAACTATGGGAAATGAATTGCAAATACATGGATTGGCGCTCTGCATTTTCTAAAGATGGACTTGCAAGGGTCTTACTAGCTATGGAAGGGCCATAGCTCAATGACAGAGCACACACCTGGCATGCAGAAGGTTCAGCTTCTGTCTCCAGCACTTCCAGATAGGGCTGGAAAAAACACCAGCTTGAATCCCTGCAGAACTGCTGCTAGTCCGTGTTGACAATACTGGGCTCAACAGACCGATGAGTTAAGTCAATAGAGGACAGCTTCTTAGCAATGCATTCATTTTCCATTCTTTGTTTTAATGCAACATACACATAAGGTGTTCTGTGAGTTTTGAAATCAAACTTCAGTGTATAGCAAGAGGCTGGAGACAATGTTTTTTGTAGCAACACATGAATCTCATTGTAGCTGAATTCTGCACAGGTCAAGATCTTTGCACTGTGTGTCCTCTGCATGACCTTACTCACATTTGTAGCACATGCAACATATTTATACCGTATTTGGAGTGTTCCATCACAAACCAAATCCTTGCAGGCAAGTGCAAAGGATATTGCTTAGGCAATAATAAGGAAAGCAGGGGGAAAGAATTATGGGGCCAGGTGAGGGGTTATTTTTGTTATGTGCTGCCAGGTCATCTCTGACTAATGGTGACCCTATGAATGAAAGCTCTCCAAACTGCCCTATCCATGGCATCTCTGCTTAGCCATCCTAAATTCAAGGCTGTGGCTTCCTTTATGGAGTCAGTCCATCTCCTATTTGGGTTTCCTTTTTCTGCTTTCGACTTTCCCTAGCATGATTGTCTTCTCTAGGGATTCTTGCCTTCTCAGGATGTGTCTGAAATATGAGCACCTCAGTTTTGTCATTTTTGCCTTAGGGAAAGTTCTGGCTTGATTTGATCTAGGACCCACTTGATTGTCTTTCTGTCAGTCCAGGGTATTTGCAAAGGTGAAGGGTAGATGTAGATAAATGGAGAGCCCAAGGGCTGCTGGGAGTGGCGTATGGAGAGCAGCTACTAACAGAAGGGCCACTGATAGGGCCATGGACTGGAGCAACACAGCCTTTTCCCAGAGAAGGAAGGAAGTCCCAGTTCCTAGAGTTTACCTATCATTAGCTGAATGCTAACCTCTGTCTGCAGTAAATTGATTAGGTGGCCTTAGGCGAGCCATTAAATCTCACCCCCAGGCCAACCCTGTCTCTGTAGCATGGGATAATAGTGCTTACCTTATCTCAGCCATCCTGAAAATCCTGTAAGGTTTGTGAAGTACTTTGAAACATTAAACTAAACATCTAAAGCAATATGAATGCTTCTTGTTGCTATGCAGGAAGTTGTTGTGGATGACTCGAGGCAGTAGCAGGTTGGTTTACAGAAAAAAGACCTACAACTTCTAGCATGGCTGGCTGGGGAAGCTAGGATTTTTCTGTCTTTTTTCTGCCTTTGCACCCTGAGAACCTGAGTGACAATCATAAAGAACACTTATTTCAGGCTATCAATAGCCTATAAACCCAAAACATACTAACCTGATTTTCTTCTAGGGCAACACTGCAGTCTGAAATTGACAGATGAAATGCGCAGAACTTAAATGTATTCGACCCGAATCATGTTGCATGTTATTGTTATTCTTGCTACTCACCACATCTTGCTGGTGTAATTTGTTTGTATTTGGAAGCTGGCAGATTGCCCAAGAGTCTTCCACAAAGTCGTTTCCTGTAAAGATGCAATTATACAAATTTATTCATGAATAGTCCAGTGCCTTATGTGGAACTTAATTGTTCAATCTGAGCTAGATGAACATGGATTTCCAGGTGATTTGCAATTTCCATATGCATAAGAACTAAATATCCAATACGAGCTTGGGAATGCACAATTTTGTACGTTGAGTGCACTCAGACACTATTGTATTCCTATGCTAAATGTATCTTCCCATTGAAATTAATATATTATACACATGTATACCTATATACAGGATTTCCTGCTTGCAGTCTGACCCCTGGTGCTGTATGGACTTGGGCATGCCCATGTGCATATAGAGGCATTCTGTGGCTCACAAGGGCTTCATTGTGCACTCGGTGGATGGGATGTTTCTTCTGCACATGCTAGCTAAGTGATACAAATGCACAGAAAAGCCAATCCATTGAAGTGAATGATGCTGCAGATCCGTTTGAGACAGTAATTCTGCACGCATATATGTTCTCCTGTGTGATCCTGCAAGAACTACAGTGCATGAAGGATATTCACAGAAATGGCAGCCATGCCATCATTTTGTACAACATAAAAATTCTATTTTTAAAAGAGGGCAGTGTTGCAATCTGAAGCAAATTCTGTATTGCTGCTGGACTTTCATTGCAGGTATAGCACCAGCTTTTAAACAAGGTTTGAAGTCTTCTTTCTTGGTGTTAAGAGCTAATGTATTCCTTGTATTTAAAAAAAGTTTAATTTTTCTCAAGACTTACATTTCATTTTCAAAAATGGATTAAAAGTTTTGTACTAAATATTTAAACCTGTGTCAATGCCCTCTTAACGTTCTGTAAGAATGGTTTATTATGTAATTGGAATTTTACTGCATATTTTAATAGTGTATTTTAATATTCTGTAACTAGTTTGAGAGCCATTTCGGGTAAAGATGGGGCAGAAATGTTTTAAGTAAATAAGACATTTAACATTTTTAAAAACATGCATACTTTCTATCAGCTAAAAGAGAACTTCTGTCAATATCCTTTCAGTATGTTAGCAGAGGGACAACATATTTAATTCATTTTAATTTGATGTCTACCCATTCCAAAAGTAAGGAAGGGAGGCTCACTAAAGGTACTGAAGTGTCTTCACCATAGTGGAAATATGGCTGTAATAAAAAATAAATTTACAGTGATTCCCGAAGAGATTGGAGGCCTTTAAGGCCTTCCATGTGCAAATGTGGTACAAACTGTGAGACTGTGGCTGGGATCCAGAGAACCAGAGAGCTGCATCAGCGGAACACCAGGGCTAGGTGCTCTTTTACCCAGCAACCTCCCAAAGAGCCAGCCAGCCACGAGGGTTGGGGCACTGCCAGCTTCTTTAGACGGCCACTAGCTGGACCGCTCCCTCAGTGGGTCTGCTGCCTCACCACCATTGTCAGCAGCTGTTCTTGCTCTTCCTTCTCTTCCTCCCCATGGATTGCCGGAGCTCTGCAGAGCGAGCAGACCTTGGCATCTACTGCTCCTCCTCACCGCCACCACCACCACCACTGTCCGGGACAGAGTGACAGTCTGGTGAGCAAGCAGGTTGCAGTGGTGAGGAAGAGGAGGAATTTCAGTCTCTGGGGCCCTCCTGGCTATTGGCCGTTTGCAGGCGCCCAACCAAACCTCCCCCTGTTGGTAGCCCTGTTCTCTTGATGGGTGCATGGATCTGTACTCTGCTTTTCCCTTCTAAAGGAAGCTCAAAGTGCCTGACATCACACAAAACAAATAATATCAAATTTTCTTCATTCATTGTAGAGACCAGTCTGACTTTAGCATAGTGTTTTCTTGTTTCTTTCTTTTTTTATATGTAATTAAGTTTTCCTGATGAATGCATATGTAAGCATTCTGGTTTGTGAAGGTCAAGGTTACCCAATTAATATTCTGGGGTTTTTTTTACTTCCCAGTTAATGAGTTATTAAGGAACAATGACAATAAAATAGTACTTTGTCACTCTTCCAGCATGTTTTGGAGCAGTAAATAACTTGGCAACATTTATTCAAGCAGATTACATGATATGTACAGTACATATGAAAGCTTATTAAATGTAGGTTACCTATAGTGAGATTCTAAGCTTACTTCCTTGTTAGTAAGTCATGTCTTATTTCTGATGTTTTGTAGGAAAATATTAGTCATTGTGACAAAGATTATTCTGCATCATCACTCCAGTTTTCAAAGTTTTTTTGTTTTTCCCAGAAAAATTGAGGCATAGAACTAATCTATTACTAAATAACCAGTTTCAGAAAAGTGAAATATTTTATTAATTAACAAATTTCTAAATTGCCAAGTATAGTGAATTAATCAGGTCTTGCACCATTTAAACTCCAAAGGTCATGGCTACCGGTACAAAGAGTGCAAAGGAGCTTAAGTCTGCGTTCCAGTATTTCTTTTACAATGTTTCTAAAGTCCAGCTGCCAAGTGCAGTCCTGACAAGTGGAGTAATGACGTACAGTCCAAGGGCCAAATAGACAGAGTACATGCAAGAAGTAATGGGTTATGTAATTGCTGATTAGAATGTGAAGGTGGTTGTTACTGGGAATATCTTTGCTAACCTTTTTATCTTCTGGGTTTTATATGCCATCAGCAGTGATGGCTCCAGGTTTTATAGGGCACTAGGGCAAGACAGCCTCAGTCTCTCTCTCTCTGAGTCTACCTTCCCATCAGAATTCCTCGTTGTCATTGTTACTTCCTGCCTTCTCCTCTTCACCACCGATACTACCTGCTCGCTTGCCAAGCAGAGAGTCAATGAGTGTATAGCTGGTGATACCTCCCCTGTGTCTCCATGGTGCCACCCCTGTTGAAAGGGCGACAGTGGAAAGTAGATGATCACACACACGGCAGTGATGAAGAAGAGGTTGGGGGCTCATGCTGCCTCTTGCTGTCTATCAGATGAACCGCTGACTTATTTCCCTTTAAATACTTTAGCCTTTTCACTTGGCCAGAATCTGTTTCTTTTCAACAATTTAAAAGAGTCATAGAATCATAGAATAGTAGAGTTGGAAGGATCATGAAGGCCATCATGCCCAACCCCCTGCTGTTGCAGGACACCACATTACACCATCCCACCCAGATGGCCGTCCAGTTTCTTTTTGAATGTCTCTAGTGTGGCAGAGCCCACCACCTCTCTAAGGCAGTTGGTTGCACTGTCGCATTACTCTTGACAGTGAGGAAGCTTTTCCTGATGTCCAGCCTGAATCTGGGTTGTCGCAACTTGAATTGATTATTCCAGGTCCCACACTCTGGCATCAACAAGAAGAGATCTTGACCTTCCTCTTTGTGACAGCCTTTGAGGTACTTGTAGAGGGATATCATGTCCCCCTCAGTCTTCTCCTCTCAAGGCCCAGTCCTCTAGGTCTCCCCTCATAGAGCAGTGTTTCCAAGTCCTGGATCATTTTGGTTGCCCTCTTCTGGACCTTTTCTAATTTTCCTGCTTCTTTCTTAAATCTTGGTGCCCAGAACTGGACACAGTATTCCAGATGAAATCTTACTGCTGTAACTGTCATGGTTTCCACAGCCCCTGTAATGAGTGAGGCTGAACTGGAAGGGGGTGCTTCTGTAAGTGGCAAATTTCAACTCCATATGGCAATTTGAGGGATCATGTGGAAAGGAAATGAATGTGGTTGCCATTTATCGAGCATGTCAACTCTAGGACCTGAGCAACTAGCACCCTCAGCTGGAACACCAGGACCAGGGGTCCTGGAGGTGGATGGAGAACTTGGCCACACCAAAGGCACAGCAAGGAACAAAAGAGGGTCAGGCACTGACAAGGTTGGCAAGGCCAGAGGCCAAGGCAGAATCAGGAGCAGGCAAGAGTCGAGGCACAAGCGCAGAAGTTTCAGGACTAGAGACAGCAACCAAATCAATCCAATACCACAGAGACCAGTGTGACCAGGGCAAAGCTGGTCATGGCTGAAAAGCCTTTTATAGGGCCTTCTGTGGCTCTGTGATTGCACTGGACTTGTTCCTGCAAGATCCTACAGTTCTGATGCCAAGCCTTCAAGTAGAAGCAAAGTGGGCCAGGCTACCTTCTCTGTCAGGCCAGCAGGGTGAGCTGCAGAACTTAGCAGCGTGTTTGACTTGTACAATGTTACACAGTCAAAGAGCTTGGCTGTTGGGTAACAGCATGATATCAGCATGTTTGCTCACAATTTTCTGATTGGCTGGGTTTTTTAGGAAGGAGAAAAAAGTGAAAGCCAAGGAAAGACATTCTCCCAATGTTTTTACAATATGGCATGCTTCAGGTTGCATTTTAATGGCTTGTTTTTACAATGTGTATTTTAGCTTGTGTTTTAATGGACTGCTGTAAACTGCTCACAGAGCTTCAGCTATGGAATGGTATAGAATTTAAATAAATAAGTAGGATCTGGCAAATTTGACTAAAGTCATTTTCATGACATTCTTTCCATCCCTTCCTCATGAAATACATATTTTGGTTCTGAACACTGAGGCAGGCAAACACTTGACCCAGCCGTACTAATGACCCTGTTTGGCGCCTGCTTGCAGTTCTGTTCAAGCAAAGTGCTGTTGCGAGAATACTCGATCACAGATTGCTAGTGATTCAGCAATTCAGTTAGGAAATTGGATTTCCAGAAGGATTTAAATCCTCTGGCCCTGACAATGAACCCAAAAGAAGTGAAATGTCCTGAAACATCAGACAGCAATGGAAAGATGTGGAATAGCTTACTTATATTCAGTTTAAATGATGTTGTGTCAAAAGAATATTCCACTAAGTAAGAAGTATCATATCCCTCTTTTGCGAGATCTTCCAGAGTCCTGTTTTTGAAATGGATTCCTCCCCTCGCCCCCTAGACTGTTGTATTTTTCTGCAGAAAATATTCTACTTCTAAAAGGGCACAATTTATCTAAATAAACTGGGATTGTAAGGAGCAGATAGAGCAGCAATTGAATTGGGCATTTTCAGAATTGGCAATAGTTAGAACTTGGTCAGATGACTACAGCCTTGTGTTGCTTGACTGCACCGATGAATCCATGTATTCATGCAGTGCAAGGAAGAGCAGTGGAGCTGAGGCCTCTAAGCTCTGTGTGTCAGAGGCTTTGCCACTTCCCCTCCATTTCCACACATACCACAACAGAAGGATGAAGATAGTTTCTATGTTTGAGGTTGCAGTGGGGCCAGCAGCCACAAACCTGCTTGCTACTGCATAGATATTTCTGCAGGCAGATTTCTTTTGATACTGCACTTGCGTTAATTCCCTTGCAATCGGCCCTTGTTGGCAGAAAAACCCATGGAAGTGTACAGAGGTTGTGAGTGCTATTTCAGCCCAGCACCCTTACAAGCCACTACAAGGGCTGTGTGGAACCATGTTTCCTCCACTTTGAGTCCTAGCAGGAATTCAGATACCTGTGACAAGAGAACCAGCAATTTTAACAGTTTTACAAAGTAACTGGGGATGCCAAGAACTGTGCAAGAACTGAAACTGAAACCCATGACTGTCCTGTTTTGTTTTCAGGGTTCAGGGTTCTTTAAAAATGGCAGGAGACATACCATTAAACATCAATATCAAAGAGCCTCGCTGGGATCAAAGCACTTTTATTGGACGAGCAAGACATTTCTTCACTGTCACTGATCCTAGGAACGTTTTGTTATCCAATGAACAATTAGAAAAATCAAGACAAATCGTGCATGATTACAGGTATGGTTTTTATTTTTAACCCCACTTTATCTTGAGGGCTCAAGATGGGGGATAACACCCAAGGAACTATGTAATAAGAGGAAAAAATGGAAAAGCCAGAAAACTAGAACACTGCACCAGGCTATTCCTCTCCACCCAGCACATGCCACAAAAACATAGCAATGAAGAGGGTAAAATTGGGAGGATGGTGGGGAAATGCTACCCTTCTTCATTGGAGTACTTTGGAGTAGAAAAGAAAGAGCCAGTTATGCAAACAAGCAGGGCATGTTTCCTTCAGATTATAATTTTCCTGAGTGCACAACCACATGGAGAAAATTCAGTGTGAGCTGGCAGTATGGAAATGGCAACAGAGTTCTCAAGAATGACCTAAACATCCTTCTCAACAGCACTATGAGAAAATAGCTGCTAGTCTGATTTATGAACCATCCCTTAAGTTTTTGACCTAAAATACCCCAAATGTCCTATGTATAATTCATTGTATGTGTTTCCATTTATCCCAAGACAAGGTATTGTGGCCTCTGGATTGACAGAAGATGAACTGTGGAGGGCAAAATATATCTATGATTCTGCCTTCCATCCAGATACTGGCGAAAAGATGGTTTTGATCGGCCGCATGTCTGCTCAGGTGCCTATGAACATGACTATTACTGGCTTCATGATGACCTTTTATAAGTGAGTATTATTTATTTATTTAGACAGCTTATATGCTACCCCCTTCGCATAAGCCTCGGAGCGGCTTACAATCATTAAAATCTCGCAAATAAATACAAAAAATAAAAAATACATAGAATAAATAAAATACATAAAATAGTGGAAACGGCCTGGTCAGTTTAAAATCAACAAATAAACCTTAACAATTAAAATAGAGTTTAAATAAAAAGGTCTTGGCCTGGCGCCAAAAAACGACGGCGCCAGGCGGACCTCTCTGGGGAGTGCATTCCATAGGTTGGGCGCCACCATGGAGAAAGCCCTCCTCCAAGTACTCACCCTCCTAATATCCTTCACAGAGGGTTCCCGGAGAAGGGCCTCTGCCGCCGATCTCATTGCCAATTAATAGTACTTGAGTGGAATAAATAGTCATGAGAAACAGTTGTAAGTCTATAGTTGCACTTAGACCTGTGAGAAGGTTCCTGGTGCTACCTGCTGGAAGGCTCTGTGCAGTTGTTTCATCTTTTTCCCTGAATGGATTGCCTGCAGTAAGAAAAATGGGTGGGAGTGGTGGAAAAGCACAGGCAGCGCAGAAGACAGCAATGTCTGAACCCCACCCAGTCCATAAAATTCTGTGAACAAGCCTGGTGGTGGCACAAGCAACTCTCTTAATGTACCGTAAAGGATTTTGTTACTGCTGCTCAAGTGAGTGCTATTGACTAGTTGTTGTTTTGAATGGGTCATAAGGGCACCGCCCTGTGGCCAGCTGGACAGTGTCCCCGTTCTGACCTCAAAAATGCACTCGGAGGTTGGAGCTGGGATTCTGCCCTTGGTGTTGGGAGTGAGAAGAGCCAAATGTAGACCGAGAATTTCTAACTTCAGAGATCTGGTATATAGCATGCTGATCGCCAAGCATCAGATTATCCTCAAAGCCTGTCAGTTACCTCCTCTGCCTTTTTTAAAATTACACACATGGGGGCGGGGGGAGTTCTGCAAGACAGTGAAATAAAAGCTGCTGGATATTAAAGTTACTTTTAAGGCAATCTCTGAACATCTCAAAATTGGAGCTAGAAAAACTTCCAAAAGAACATAGCAGGTAGTACTGGACATATCAGAAAACTGGTTGGAGAGAATAAAGCAATAAAGAGAATTATTATAACTGAAGAGCAGAATGTAAAATTATCTTTGCTTACTCAGAACAATCCTGTGCTCCTGTGAGGAGGTGCATGCTATAATAGGTTCCCTAAAAGTACCTTTGTACTGCATGCCCATAGAATTCAGTTGAGCTCCCCCTCCAGGGGCAGAAATGGTCCACGCCAGAGGCCTCCGTGTCATGGTGGCAGGGCCTCCTCTGTTGTCACTGCTCTCCATCAGTGCTCTGACAGGGTAGGAGCAGTGAAAGGGGCATCTTGGGGCAGATAAAGGGAGGCCTTGCTTCCACAGGTTCCAGAGCCCTCCTGTTTCCCCCACATGTCCCAATACACAGCAAAACAGTCCAGCCACTCTGTCAGTCCTAGAGTTGGCATAGCTAATTACACATGTACGTACCATTGATATCCGTGTTGCGCGGAGATGTTAAAGAATTGCATCAGTGAAAAGGCCAAAAGCCTCCCCACTCTGTCTCCCCCGGCTACCGGGATCAGACTCTAGATTCTCTCCCTCCCTTTCCACCATAGAATTGCTCTGCCTGTGCTCATACTATAACACTTTGCAGAAAAGACCTGTGTGTTCCTGCACATCAGGTAGGAAAATCATCATTTTATGAAGCGACCCTTTGAGCACAATCCCAGACAGAGGAAGTTAATTGGGGAATGTTGGGAATCATCAGAGTTTTTTCCGTCTAAGCATGCACTGGATCGCAGCTTCAGTTTCACTAACTTAAAATCAGCTTTCTTGACATTGATAAGTTCTATAAGAAAGTGGCTCATTCTTGATGTGCGTGCTTACGTTGTGTGATAGTGGTTGAAAACAGAGTGTGCATCTCCATATGTTTTGTAAGATTAGAACATTACAGTTGGCTTCTTCATAACAACTGAAATTGATTTGTAACGAAACAACTTGTTTGTAGGGGAGAGTGAAGATTAATTAGATCATGTCCCTCTCACAATTTTGAAGAAAACTAATTATACTTCTTGCTTTAAGAACTACTCCAGCAGTGGTCTTCTGGCAGTGGATTAACCAGTCATTCAATGCAATAGTAAACTACACCAACAGGAGTGGAGACGCACCGATTACCGTCAGGTAAAGTATTTTAGCTGCCACAGCCAGACAATGCAAATACCTTGACTAAGACCTGTAATTCAGTGCTTAGACAATAGTTGCTATGAAATATAGCTCAAATATTTTGCAGATATAATCACTATGAGTGATCGACTTAACGAAAGCCAGGGCTGTTAAAAGCCTGGACAGGTGGACCATTTGCTAAAGAATTTCCCAGAAATGGAAGCCTGGGATAAGGGTGGTAGTCAGCCGTGGGACTTGCATGAAGATTTAGCTTATGAGCAGGGGCTTAACCTTTGCAAAGACTGGGAACATTCATCCCTCTTCTGGGTAGTGCTTGCCCCAGGCAACAGAAGCCTCTGCTGCTTCTGAATGGCTTTCAGCAGCTATAATGCTAATGGATCTCAGATTGCCCAGTTCAGATTATTATTAAATTTGCAGTGTGGCCTTTCATAGAATGGCTTGACGTGACAACATATAAGCACAAGGTAAAATGTAATGGGGAAATAGAAGTGATGCCAATTTAATAACCACAATGAGTAACATGGACATAGTGCATTCAAAGCCTTCCATGTGCATTTTTTTCAGTGATATATGAAATCCTACTAAATGCGTGACAGCCGCATGCCTCCAGTCTGGTACTAAAAACAGCATCTTTGCATGTTGACCATCCCAGAAGACGATAATTGCATAGTTTGAGTGACTAATACAGCCACTAATGCATTCTCCCAATCTGCTGTGGATTGCAGCTGGTGAGATTTGGAGCCCTTCGAAGTGGGATGGGTGGCTCACCTTCCCAGTACGGGATGTGCCTGCAGCACTGAAATTTCACTGGCGTCTTTTAGGTGTCCCATGGATTCATAATCAAGACCAGGGTCTTCGGTGTGGTGCACACAAGTGGCACAGTTCCCGCAGTACCTTTCCAAGTACTGCGCCTTCAGCAGTACTTGTAAAGGGCTCCAGAATGAAAACAATTCAGATCTTTAAACAGTTTTATTTGTCCAATGATTCAGTATGCATACATGGATTTATATAAGTGTTGAGCAATTTTATATAGGTTTATATAGAGGGAACCAAATAATAAAATATCCATTTCAGCTGGCATCTGCATCCCACCTGTTTATAGATCTAAGGCATTGTAAAATCCTCAGTGCATTGTATTATAAATGAGTGTTTCCTTCCAGTCTTTTAATATCTACCTTTTAGCTGTCAAAAGGGCACAAAGAACCCATTTCCCTTCAATTCAGCCCCATGAAGCGGGTAAATCTGTTAAAAGAGTGGCTGCAGGCACACGTCACATCAAGCAGCCCTGCATAGTTTCCACAGTTCAGGGGGTTGTTCTGCATGGTTGTGCCTGGCAGATGATCTCCTCCCTCGCAGCCCTCCAGGTGGTCTTCCAGGAGGTACTGTCTGGAGGAACGACACTCTTCTCTTTGACAGCCCCAATCACAAGGCACGCTCGGCTTGCTGCAGCTGCCAAGAAGTCCCTGTTCACAAGCACGACGCATGTCCTGAAGCACAGCAGAGAGGACACAGAACTGGTCAGGCCCCTCCCCTCCTGCTCCAGAGAGGACCGCTGGAGCCAGAGGGGGTGTGCCTGGTCCACATCCAGGCCAAAGGGAAAAACACCAGCTGGACAGAGCTGAGAAAGGTGCGGGGCTACCCCTCCACAACTGCCTCAAGGAACCCTATCACCTGTCCGAGCAGGTGGAGGGGTGAGAATCGGCTGGACAGTGCTGGACCTTGCCTAGTGCCAAGCAGAAATAAGATCTTTAGGGCGGGTGGTGGATGGAATGGGGATGCCTCTGGCAATTGTGTAAAATGGCACTTGTCTGTGGTGTTCTGCAGGGAGCTGATTGGCAAAAGCAGCGACGGGCCACTGTTGCCAAGCAGCCCAATGATGCTGGTCTTGGTACTATGGTCATCTGTGCTTTCTAGGTTTAGATGACACAACAAGCCACTGTGGTATTGAGAGACCATAGAACAGACCATTGTTTCTGGGCCGGGCCTCCAACTGGCAGCCAGTGAAGATGGTAGAAGGCTGGCTTTATATGATCATATCTGCCAGTCCTCATTAACAATCTGGCCACCCTATTCTGGACCAATTGAGGTTTCTGGACCATCTTCAAGGGAAGTACCACGTAGAGTGTTGCAAGGATCCAGACGAGAGGTTACTAGTGTGTGGATAACTGTTGTCAGGTCCTATCTGTCCAGATACGGCCACAGCTTAAGCTGATAGAAGGCGCTCCTGACCATCAAATCCACCTGGAATTCCAGGGATAATTCAGGGTCCAGAAGCACCCCCAAGCTGCAAACCCTGCCCTTTAGGGGGAGTGTGAACCCGTCCAGGACAGGCAAGATGTCACCCATCTGACCAGACGGACTCCCCACCAACAGCGGCTCCATCTTAATCTGGATTAAGTTTCAGTTCATTAGCCTTCATCCAATCCATTATCGAGGCCAGGCTCTGATTCAGAACAGCCACTGCCACAGAACATCCGTATGTTGCATTATCTGCATTACGCTGCCGGCCAATAGGAGAATTAGACAATCCCTTATTAAAGAGAGTCTGCTGTGTCCAGCAGACATGAAACAAACATTTTTGCAGAATGGGGCACAGCCTAAGATCCAGTAATGCTACGGGTAGATCCCAAAGTGGCAGTCTACTGATTAGTCACTTCTGTGGTGGTGCCCACAGCAGCTTCTCAGATTCCTAACTGTGCCCACAGCTTGGGGTCTCCTGATCTATACACATCCCTAGAAATAGGTGGAAGGTTAATGGGTGCTGCCTAAGGGAGGCAGAGGAGAGGTTAGGCGCTGTTCTTGAAGTGGAGGATCAGAAGAGCTGGTGGTGTGCAGCTGGCGGCAGCAGAGCCGTCTGGAGGTGCTTGGCTTTGCTAATGCTGCATGGCCAGGGCAGGGGGTTTGTCTTGGCTGCATGCTAGGAAACCTTCTCAGCCTCTAAACTTTCCCAGCTACACTTAGTAGAGCAGCATCGGACCACACTCCTTGCTGGGTCTGGTCAGTGCCTCAGTGGGAAAGTGCCTGGGAACCTTATATGAGTGCCCTTGAGCTCCTTGATGAGAGTACAGGCAATCATTATAATGGATAAATAGACTATTTCCCAGGCTATTCTGATGTGATGGTGAAGATGGCTAGTGATGGCCTCTGTTGAAGACAGCTGGTGATTACACAGTCTCCTTGGCAGCCAAGATACTAGGTGCAGGTCATGTGTGTTTAGAATGGAAAAAGTCCTACAACTCCCATCATGTCCCATTCCAAATATGGTAGCCATGCCTGGCTGGAGCGTGCTGGGAATTGTAGGCTTTTTTCTGTTTAACTTGCCCTGAGGCTCATAACGTTGCTCAAGATCTTCCAGATGTCATGAGTCCAAACTTAAAACCTGTTTTTATTGAAGTTCTGTTAGGCATCCAGCCCCCAAAACAGTGCCTTGTGGATCAGACTTGAATAGCCTGCGTATCTTGGCTCCTTCATGAAAAGGAACAAAAGGTCTTTAGTTCAGTGTGTCCCCTGCCACAAGACCAGTTTGTCATTGCATGAGCATCACCCTCTGCTTCAGTAGATGAGCTCACCCAGTAAAGTCCAGTTCCCCGTATAACTGCTGGCAGTGCAAGTGGTCCACGATCACATAAGAACGAGCAAAGCTGCATCCTGCGAAGCGTGCTGGGGAAAGAGTCGTGGGTGTGCCAAAAGCTCTCTTGCTCTGCATGGGGTGAGTAATTGGACCTGTGGAGCAGCATTATACTCTCAGACCATGAGTGCAGCTTTCTCCAGCCTATGGTGGTACCCTGTGCTGGCTGGGGGCTATCAGTGCTGCAAAGAATGCAGCATCTTCCATCATGATTTGGAAAAAGCTGCATTCATTCACTTGCCCTACTACTCTCGGCTCTGACTGGCAGTGGCTTTCTGTTGCAGTCCCTTAAACCAGAGATGCCACAGATCTGGGACCTTGCACATGCAAAGCTCTTCCCCTGAGCTGTGAAGGTCTCCATCCTCAGTGTAACCACAATGACTACACTGATTCACCTTACCAGAGACTTTAGCAGGATACAGGTATCCACACCCCTTTGCTGTGCCGGTTCCTGATGCCGCAGGGAAAGGATCATGAGTGGGGAAAGGGAAACTTTCTATCTCGACTGGTGCTCCCAGCATTATCTCCTGGCGATATTTGGTCTTTGAGCCACACAAATGAGTTTTAGTACTATGCCAGTTGTATGTACAGGATTTGATTTAATGCACATGGTTATTGTGCACATGCAAACATTCTTATTTTTGTTTTAGCCAGCTGGGAACAGCCTATGTTTCTGCCACCACAGGTGCTGTTGCAACTGCTCTAGGACTTAATGCACTAACAAAGGTAATTCCATACTTTCCTCCTTTTCTGCTTTGAGAAAGAGAAAGAAAGATTGCTGTTCAGTTGTTATGAAAACATCGAGTTAATGATTTATATACAGACCAGGAGATTAACTAAGTGTCTGGTGGCACATTAAGGAATAATGTATTTATGGTGACATGACCTTGAACATTCAAGATCCTGGTTGATCTACATTCTATGGGCTAATTGACTTCTTGTGACTCAAAGCTTGCTTGCTTCAGTTCAGTAGTGACTTGGCTATAATATCTGCACAGAAATGTTTAGCCTAGCCTTCTCCCTGACACACAAGTATTATGCAGTGGCTTTTTGCGTGGAGTGATTTTCTTTCCTAGGAGCCCAGAGTCCTCAGTGAGAATATAAGCTCAGTTTCTAGGGAAAGCATATTTCCGAGTAACCAATCTCCAGCAACATCCAGTGGTGTTGACTCTTGCATCTCAAGTTAGGCCCCTTGAAATCCTCTTTCTGATCTCTCTTCATGGAGCACTGAACATGTATCATATGGTCACTGTCCACATCAGGATCTTGCCCGCCCTAGCAAACTTGTGCCATAGTGAATGCACAACTCTTTCAGGCCCCGTGAGGTCGCTGTTGTCCTTTCTGCAGCGCGCTAACACAGCCATTCTTCCAAATGCTTTCACAGAGTAACTGCAATTGTGGAAGAATGAGGCAGGAAGAGTGTGTGTTACTCTCTTAAAATAGCCACATCTCGTCCCTTCCCATCTTCATTTTTTTTCAAAAGGTTCAATCTATGAATGTCATCAAGAGACTTGTGCTGCACCTGCATGCATTCTCTGATCTTCTGGTTCATGGATTTCAGATTAGCCATAACATAGTCAAGACGAGACCTTTCAGGGTCATCCCCCAGAGCTTAAGACAAGAGTCTAGAATAAAGGAAAATTCAGGGCTTGCCGGCCTCCAGCTAACCGCCCTTTCCTTTTTCACAGCACGTCTCACCTCTTATAGGACGGTTTGTTCCTTTCGCTGCTGTAGCTGCTGCTAACTGCATTAATATCCCATTAATGAGGCAAAGGTAAGACAAGCATTTCATATGTGACTCATGTAAGAACCTCATGACAGTGGGTAACACCTTGCATACCTAGTAGAGATGCTGGTAAAATTCTCCTGAGCCATGCCAGGGAAAGAATTTAGGAGATCAGTGAAGCCCACATCAAAGAAGAGACAAGCTTTGAAAGGCCCTGCCTTCTTCTCCAGCTTCATTTAAAACCTGAGCTGCGAGGAATTCCTGGTGCGCCCTGCAGATGGCCCTCACCCACCTCTGGAAGTTAATGGAGAAACTTTGTTCCCTTTGTCTGCATGGGAGGTGGGATTCGACAGGGGCAAAATTTGTGAGTAGGACCAATTAGTATAGATGTTTCTTTCAGAATAAAGGCCAGCAGATGTTTAGCTTCCCCCCCCCCCTTTTCTTTCTTTTTTAAACCCAACAGGGAACTCAAGTATGGTATCCCCATCACAGATGAAAACGGAAACCGATTGGGCGAATCGAGCAAAGCAGCTCAGCAGGCCATCGTACAGGTGGTAATCTCAAGGATCCTTATGGCTGCTCCTGGCATGGGTTAGTCCAGCGCCACTTAAGTGTCATGCTTGAGCACAGGGATATGGCTGGATGCTTCAAAGAACTTCTAAGGCTGCAGTTCTGTGCTTTGCTTGCATAGCTTGCAGAACAACTGGTGGCTGGTGCATCTTGCTGCAGGGTCACCCCTCTGCCTGGAAGACATGGAGTGGCTTTGTAAAAGCTCTCTAGATGTGCAACATTTAACTGGGCCGTGGGGGCTGAGAATGATGAGAATTGAAGTCCAAAACATTTGGACGGCATCTGGTCAAGAAGGAGAAACACTGTAGCTCTTCTTTATAAAATTCAAGCAATCCAGAGTGAAAACACAGGTAGTTTCCCCAGTATGTGACTTTTCAGAATTTTGGACTATGACTGTAAGCATTCTTGGCTATTAGCCATGCTAGCTGGGACTGATGGGAATTGATGTCTAAAACATCTGGAGAGCACCAGGTTGGGGAAGGTGACTCTAGCTGGTCATCTGCTGTTCTTTAAAAAATTAAAATATTTTGATAAGATGTTTCCATGAAACCCTACTAACCCTACTACTTCCATGAAACCCTACATGAAACCCATCATCTCTATAGGATAATCTCTATTCTGTATTCATACCTAGGTCATATGTAGATTTGAATGTTAGCAAGAAATTTTGAGGCAAAAGATTCCTAGCAGCTGTTAAATGTTGCTATGAACATATAATTTGCTAAGTGTTTAACTGAAAAGATTTCTTAGCTGCCTTTCAAAATACAAATGGTTTTCTAAGACAATATAGCATTAAGCACGTGGCTTTTATTTATTGCCATTCTAGGTATTCCTCCCTTCATAATGAATTCTTTGGAAAAGAAGGCATTTTTAAAAGTAAGTCAAAGATCCTAAGAATATTTTTTGTATACCTGTTCCAGTAAAGCAGCCCTAAATGTACACAGAGTCAAGTCTTCATTGTTCCCTGTCTTGTTAGATGGTGCATTCTCTTTGCAAGCACAGCTTGGAGGATCTGAAAACCTTAATCTATTTAGCTGCGCATTTTAGGTCTATGATGGGGTTACAGCATTTTTGCAGTATTGCCAGAAGCTGCAATTCTTTCTGTCCAGATGTCAGGCTTGTTCTTGCAGGCACTTAATCCAAGGTTGTTGCCCACAAAACACCTGCCACGTGGAAGCCGCTATAAGTTCAGTTTGATCCTGACGGCAACTGCCTCTGCAGATACCATCTTGCAACACAAATGACTTTCTCCACACCACTGCAAATGTCTTTGTTTGAGATGGGCTAAGAGGTATGTGGTGGCCAGGAGCGAGGTGCCAGAAAAGCACAGCTTGCTGCCTCATATGACAGAACGAGGTTGCCACATAGAGCCATTATGACGGTGGTCTCCATGTGGCTCCAGTCTCATATGTACTGGCTCTCATTCTGTACTTCCTAGCAGACGAAATGGCACATGTGCTACCAACAACACGTGCAATGGGATGGCCAAGCCATCTCGGAGCAGTAGAGAAATCCACTTCAGAATCACGTTATCTCAGGTTTCTCTGAATCCAGCCTATGGATTCCATAGTAGACCAGAATTTTCTGGATTCCATTGACTCCCGGACTTTTTCATTTTTTAACTTTGGGAGGGCAAGTGAACATTTACAAACAAGAGTAAATTCTTATACAGCCCTCCAAAATCAGATTTCATCTGTGCAGGAACAATGGAATGGCAGATGCCTGAAAGAGTTGCAAAATGCAGAAGAAACAGTTTTAACAGGATCTACCAATTCCAGTCCTCCTCTAACTTTCTGCATTTTTCTTCAGTTTGACTATAAGTTTTCAAGCCTCCTAGAGCAAGTCTAGTTTCCCTCCAGTGGGTGGACTTGGGAAATATTTCACAATTGCAAAAGGATTCATAAGAACAATTCTTTTTATCCTTGCTTTCCGCTACCTGTGAAAATGCTGCTCTGGGCAGCTTCTGATATCATGTCTTTCAGGGGCAGAACCTTTTTCACTCCAGGATCAGATCACTTTCAGGAAACCCCTCAAGGTGCCAGAGGTGCCTCCCATATTAAAAAAGTGAATGGGGCTAAAACGAACATTGGCAGGATTGAAACTCCCAGCCAAGCCAGTGTAAAAGAGAAGTGTGACCATTTCATCTCAGATTCACTCGCAGAACAGGAATTTTGCCAACTGCTTAAATTTCGAGTTGATAATTAATTAGCAGCATGTATTGAACAAAATCGGAAGATGCATTTTAAGTGTGAGAAATAGCCATTAGGGTTTTCATATTATATTGCTATTATTACTAAAGGCACAATCTCACAGCTGGCTGGAAGTTGCAGGTGTTTTTCTTTCGAAAAATACATAGGGTTGTGATTTTATGTGTTTTAAAAATCCAGATGAACAGCAGTAAGATAGGGAAGAATTCCTTATGTCTAGCAAAGTCTCCATTGACTATTATGCAGTTTAATCAATGTGAAGATGTTGTAAATTTTGCAGATCAGCACACCTGGAAGCACCCTTCAGTGACTGCTCAGTGTACTTTGACACCAGCCTGACTCTTTAGCTTGTCCTGCTTCTCCCTGCCCTCCCTCTGCCTCATGGACTGAGAGTTCAGGTGAATCATTGCTCTGCAGTTAGTTAATTATAAGGCTTGGTATTGATTAGCTCTTAATCCATTGAGCAATGAACTGCACTTTTTTTAACAAGCAACTTGTGCATGTCATCTTGAAGCTCATCTCTTGCCGTACTGTGACACGATTTGCAGTCTTTATTAATTCATATCAGGTGTGTTGAGTAGGTTTCCACCATCCCAGATAACAACACTTGCTGAAGGCTAAGGGGCAATGTTCTTTATTGGTTAGAAGGTTAGCCTAGGATCTGGGTGACTCTAGGCCACTGTCTGACCTGCCCAGAGGGTTGTTGAGAGAGTAGAAGCTGGAGAGGAGGAAGACAATGTAGGCCAAAAGCAGGATATCAATGGAATAATTAATAAACGGGATGAGAGTCATGGTAAAGGCTAAGAAGGGACTGATGAACACGTGCCAAGTTTTTGTGTCTTTGAATCCTGCCACAGAAGCATCATCATCTCCCCCTTATGTACAATTCTCAAGGTGGCTAGCAGTCACTCCGAAATGCAATCACAGTCTTGCACAAGGGCTTTCTCAAACCAGTAGCTGGCAGTGTACACAATCTTTAAAACTAGAATTTTACCGTCTCACAAACTCACCAGCAGCTCAAGACTTTGATTGGCTTCCCATGAAGCAGGTGCTGCCTTAGTGATCACATTATTCTGGCAACAGCATAAAACACCTGAGTGCTCTTAAAAGACTCCTCTATCTGTCTGATCTCTGAACCGAAGAACAATTTGGTATATTGCATTTCTAATCCTGTTGGAATCCTGAACACCTTTTCCTAGGAGCAAACCCCATTAAATTCAGTGTGTTTTAATTATGAGTAAATATGCTTAGAAATAAGCAATGCGGCATATCCCTGGGCTCTGTCCATGTTTTCAGTGGTGCCCTGATCTGGAAAGTGCAGTTTGTGTTCTCCAATGTTAGAGATGTTTTCGAAGTTCTTCAGTGTTGGGGATTCCAGCCCTCTGTGCTGTAGTCTCATTCTAGTGAAAGCTTTTTCACTGTGTTGTTCCTCCAGGAAAGGCCGGCTGTTTCGTATGTCGTTGTTGCTACTGATACTTAAATGACGTGAGAGCAAGAGTGGTGTGGTGACTCAAGTACTGGACTTGGGGACCTGGGACGTTTGGCTTCTCATCTCCAATAGCCATGAAGTGCATGGGTGACTTGGGGCCATCACTCACTTTCAGTCTAATGTACCTCACAAGGTTGTGGTTGTTGTGAAGACAAAAATGGAATGGAGACCTATGCAAGCCATTTTAGGTTCCTGTAAAAGGGGGAAAAGACAGGATATAAATGCAGTGTAATAAGAACTGCCATTGCCTCTCAGGCCTGTGCACTGGGTTCACCAGGTTTAGTTTTGTTTTCCTTTAATGAGAATAATGTGCTTTATAATGTTCTTCTCCTATTTAAAGCAATTCTGTTTTGACAGATAACTGAGATTTTTCTTATGCAGCCACTTCTGGACCTTGAGATGACTCCAGAACAAAGAGGGGAAATACTTGTTCCTCTCTAGAGATCTCTGAGAAAATATGTCAGTATCCTTGTCTCATGTCTAACCGCTTAAACACAAATCTGTAGTTCCATGCTTGTTGCTTATTTCCATTTTTATCTTATGTGTATTTAACACTCCATTTTGCTCCAAATAATAATAGCAGTGTATGGAATGCTTTTTTCTGGAAAATCATAACTGCACATATCCATTATAAGTCTAATTAACTGTTTTTCTTTTAAGCTTCATTCCTTGTATGGTACTTCATGTTTTGGAACAAACACTGTTTTGTAGTAACAAAGAAACTGCAGCATAGAAGAAGGTCACTATGGTCTGGTTTCATTAGAATACCCTTTCAGTTGGAAGGCTCTTGTAGCATCTTTTAAATATCACTTTAATATTAGGGTTTTTGTAAGATTTAATTTTTCAACTTGCTTGACAATGTGACTATGCACTATGAATAGGATTTGCACAAGGTGAAATAATGCATCATTTTTAGATGCAAAGATAATTAGCTGTTCTTCCAGATTGCTAATGATAAGAAGTAACAGGTGTTTGTCAGTTTTCCTGCCATTTAAAAAGTAATTTTCCTGGTGGAAGAAATTAAATGACATCTGCTTAAGAGAAATTGCACAAGGACGTAATCAAAATGCTTCTTCCACATTTTTCTTTAAGTTGTGCAGAATATCCCAATTTTGGCAAATTCAAACTGCATCTTGTAACATGGTCTACTTCATTATTTAACAAATGCACCACTGGGTTGTGTGAAATAGGAAGCCCTGGCATTGCCTGGATTGTTTCAGTGTTCATTTCCCAATAATTCATGAGTTGTGTGCATTTTTACCATGGATCTATGAAGATACCTCCAATACTTAGTTTTTCTGTGTCAATCCCATGCCTACAGTTATAACAATAATAGTGTATTAAAATCTATTATACCCAAGACTTTTAACATGTAGGCACGCTAGTGCTTTCAGTGGAACTTTATAGAAGTTCTTTATAAAAGTTTTGATTCTGAAGCCATGCCTTGACCACTTCATCATGGAAATCTGATACAACAATCTTGCTTGCCATTATAGGCCCAATTAGCATGTATTTGTGATTTCTGGGGGGGGCGGGGGAGGCTGCAAACAAGGCCATGCACTTGTGGCAGGGAGCATCAGGTCAGTTGCCCAAAGTGCCACTTGGGCACTTATGAGGTGGCTGCCACCAGCAGTGGCCCAGGAGGACTTGGCAAGAGCGGCCAGGGGTTTTTGCCACTCTTGCCAAGCAGCTCACTGGCGGTTTCCCAGCACTGCAGTGGGGTCAGGTTTGGATGACACAGAATCCATCATAGGTAACAACCCCTAAAACAAGTTTTGGTTTGTTGCCCTCAGTCAAACCACCCTCGAAGGCAGGTCTGGGCTTGCCCAGCAGCCCGCCATGGTTTCTCAGCCATCATGGGTTGTCATGTCATGCAAACCCAGTCTTTCAGCAGCCACGTGCTTTTCCAAGGTTTTAAATTCAAGAAGTTGAATAGTGTATATGCTTTGGGGAAACCTATTGTTTCACCATTTACTTTTTTTTTTTAACACAGAGGTTTCCGTGGATGAGTGCCCCCATTCAAGTGGGCTTAGTTGGCTTCTGGTAAGTAAAAAATTCCAAAGATGGTTGTTCTTATTTGTCATAAGAAAATCCCCTGGCATATCATGTTTAACCCTAACCTTTTCCATTGTGAGGCAGTCCAAGCCTCTCTAAGACTAAGGCAAATAACAAAGAGAAAGTGATGTGATAACTGTTTACTACACCAGCTGTTGGGAGCAAATCAAACAAAAGCAAAAGCAAATCTTGAACTTCTGCAATGAGACAGTTCAAATATATGGCTGCCCTTGGTTTAGTTGAAGACAAACTGATCAAACAGGAATGACGAAACGGAGCTCTGTGGGCCCACAGTGGAGCCTGTGTGGGGTTGCGTGTTCAGGTCCCTGCTTATCCACAAACCTAACTGAGTAACCTTGTACCACTCGCTACCCTTTGACCTAAGCCCTGTCAGTGAGTTGCTGCAAGGGTAAAAACAGAGGGAATTATGTATGTCGCCTTGAGCTCCTTGGAGAAGTGAGCAAATAAATAAAAAGTTGGAGGGGTAAAGCACATAAGGGGTGCAGCATATAAATGTAATAGATACATGGATGGATGGAGGGAGGGATGGTCCTGCATCTGATACAGGAGACTCTAATCTGTACATGTTTTTGCTACAGTAAAGCTTTAAGGTGCTCCTAGGCAACCTGGGGCTATTTTAGTGGTAATGGACTAACATGGCTCCCCTCTGGAAGTTGATACAATGGAACAGAGGTCAGCAGTGTGTGACCCTCTAGAGATCTTTGTCTACCACCACCAGTTGTCCCTCATAAGTAGCTACGATGGCTGGAGCTGATGGGAGTTGTAAGCCAAAGCATCTGGGGAGCCACACACTGCCTGCTCTGCAATAAAGAATAACAATCTTGAAAAATAGAAGATTGCCTCACTAAGCCCTCCCAGCCAACCCACTCCAGCACCTGCGATTAGTCCAAGGGTATTTGTGCTTCTGCAAGCAGGTGGTGACTATAGAGGTTTTCCTGAACTGGTGGAGGGCTAATGTAGGTGATCACTGAGGTCCTTTCCAAGTCTGTATTCTGCTATTATGGAGTTAGGTGGTAGAGGGGTAGGATACCGCAGCCATGAGGCTCAGATAGCCCACTTGAAATTGAAAAGCTCATAGTTAGAAAACAATGGCCTCAATGACTTAATTTCCCTTTTGTCTTTTCCAGTTTGGTATTCGCAACACCTCTGTGTTGTGCCCTATTTCCACAGAAAAGGTACTGTTTAATTCTTACATTGCTCTGTGAATGGCAGGGGTCCCCAAACTTTTGGGTTGGTAGCATATTGGAATTTTTTCAAGTTTTGCCGGTACTTTTACACAGTGTCTACCTTGGGCTTTGCTTCTCCATGAAACTGCAAAAGCAGCAACATAGACAAAGTGTTATTCATGTCTCCTGGCATGAAAAGTGTAACAATTCCACGGAATAATCAAAGTTATTTAATGGAGCTGTATGTCTCCTGCTTCTTTTCTGGAAATACGTTGTCTCTGTTTTAACTCAAAAGTTGTCAGACTTGTTTGCACTCTTGACATAGAAAAGGCCCATGAGCCGTAATAGCAAAAGCAGTTCCAGGATAAATCGAGATGGATCAGCATTTCTCTCAACCAGGCAGATATTCTGTAGCTCTGGTAGTTAGTTCCAGGACACAGTTTCAGATTCTATCTGCACTTTGCTTTTATACATTCCAAACTGATTTTCATAATCAGACATGAATGCCATTAGAATGTTAACAAAATATATTTTAGAGGCCTGTCGGTGAGACATGAGATGTTAGTTCACATTTAATTTTCATATGGAAACTCAGTGGTTCTGATAAAGTGCCTTTTTCTGGCTGACCCATCAATATCGCTTCTGTGACTCATTTGTTACCCAATGAACAGAGACTGCTTGCAGTGCAAGAAAACGCCAAGCCATGCTATAAAGTAAGGGTGCTGCATCACGTTTGGGCCAAAGGCCAAACTCACTTTGGAAAAGCCCACAGAAGCAGCATCAAGTGCTGGGTGGGACTGAAGGCAAAAGGGAGCAAGGCCAAAAATGCAAACATGCTTCAGCTAGTAGCAAGTTTACTAGCAGCTACACCTTACGAGGCACATTTCAAGCTTTTAGGGTGAGGAAAACACTGCACAAAAGCTAGGAGAGCACCAAAATCACTTGGTGCCCAGGGGAGAGACGGTGAGGCCAGGGAGAGGAGGCATGGCCAACTGAGAGCGCAAGAGGACTGGATTTGGACCTGATGTCAGAGCATTCTGCACCCGTTATAAGGAACTGTAGAATGCTTCATAAAATCCCTCTGGCATAACTCATCCATGACATGCAGTCCAATGGGGCAATAGCCAGAATGACAACTGCGCTTGTTCTTACTCAGTTGCATGAGCAGGAACAATTGCTTGGGCCACATAAAATGAGCCATTCAAAAAGCAGCCCTGAAAGTGAGCAAAAATGTTTGCTGACAGATCAAGATAGGCCCATGGAGTTTCCTTCTGTGGGTTCCATTGTCCGCCCCATTCTAGAAACAATCATTTCTACTAATTGCAGGTTATTTTTTAACCATCAGCTTCCTGTTGAACTAGTGGTATGTGGACAAACTCAAATGCTACCTTAATGATTCAAACCCATTTTAAAAAAATCATGAAGCTTCTCTGCATTTATATGTGGAACTTGGTCATGGATTATATTCACATCTTTGCTGTTTTTCTTCTGCTCAGTTCCATGTCTGTAAAACGCCTGGAGCCAGAAATACAAGCCAAGATCCAAGAGATCAACCCTAAACTGGAGCGTGTGTATTTTAACAAAGGATTATAAATTTGTAGAAGACAAAGTATCCCTCAGTAACGATTAGGTGAACTTATTTTTGATTGAGAAAATTTTGGTGAAGACAACTCAGCCCAGATGAGTTCTTTGAGTTTGACACAATTTTGAACACAGAAGGTCATTTCTGTTTCACAAGAGAACTTCCATAATTATGGTATCAAATGGCTGTCAATGCCATTAGCAACAGCACTCTGTAGGCTTCAGATTTTTCAGCAGAAATAATTCAGAACAGGTTACACTTTTCAAGAAAAGAAATATTTAATTCCTTTGGAAAATCTCACAGCCACAAGAAAATTGCACAATTATTTTTGTTGCCCATCTTAAATTTTTCCCCTACAAAAGAGCCAAAGCCATCTTTGCTATTATATTTGTACATATGGTAACAGTGATAATGCTGCGAAGTGAGACCCTCCAAAGTGTGATTTTGTGACACTGGGTTCATATGTTGCCTTATCTCACTTATGTAATGAGTACTGGAGTATCCCATGAAAGTTGTCTGAAATGGGTGATCATAGATCAGGAACCCTGGCTAAAATTTTCCTGTGCTGTGCAAAGCCCCCCAGATGGGAGAAGCTTACCAACCGATAGTGATAACTAGGAACTATTCCTGCAACTGACATTGTAAATTGGGCCTTGAAGCCTATCCAAATGTTGAACAAGGTATATGGTACAGTCCTCTCAGGACTATGCTACCTCATCATGTGTGCTGCACATGAGGGTTTTTGTGTTTGAGTGTCTCTTCATCTTAACATTGCTCTGCATATGTAAAGCTAGCACGCTTTAGTGACTGCACAAGCGCAGGAGAATGTCGCCCACTTCACCATTTTGGTTGGCTCTCATTCATGGTGCTTGACATTCTATGACGATCGGCAGGATGCTACCAGGACTTTCAGTATTTGCCAAATCTTATTGGTGTTGCCTAACTTTAGGGATATGTGCATTAGCAAAAAACAAGTTTGCTACAGTTCTCTGAATACCATCATGAAGTTCATTCTGACTCAAGCCCTTATCAGATTGCAAGCTTTGCTTCTTTTTTTCTTTTCACCTGAACAGCCACACACATTTTGTGCATATTTTTCCAAATGTACACATCAATTGTGCACATCTTTGAAATGTATGCCTTCTTTTCTCATTGATTAGAGCATTTAAAGTGTGCATTTTTCAAAAGTAGGCAATCCATTGTGTACATTTTTGAATGTATGCACACTGTTGAACACAATTTAAATCATACTGCAAGCTCAGAAAAGTATGGACTTTGACCACAGATTACATCCAAGTCTGCGCTGAGTGCAAACTGGATAAATTGTGATTTTAAAAAAAGGACTGTAATGTTTTTTTCATGCATTCCTACCTAATTAGTGTCAGTGGCCAAATTCTGCAAAAATTCAGGGTACTGAATGCAATACTGAATTCAATAATGAATTGCAGTTGTGTTGCCTGTAACGTTTTCCCAGAAATGGGAAAATACTAGTTTAGATTCTGGCCTTATTTTCTCATATCAAACAACCATCAGACTTCATAGGATGGTCTTGAGACAGTTGTTTAAATCCAACTGCACAAAATATTATGCTGCTAAATGCTCTTACAGGAGTGCCCTGTGTGGAGTTCTGTATAAAGGTTCTGTTAAACATTAGCAACTGATGGTCAACAGTTTCATTCCCTAAGAAGCACAGACAAGGCATGGCTCTTCTAATCAACTGCTTCTTTATTTAAGACAGCCTTCCCCAAACTGGTGCCCTTCAAAGGAGATAAATCCAAAAATAAATAAAATAAATAAAAAATGTTTCAACTCCCATCAGCACCAACCAATATAGCTAATGGACAGGAAAACTGAGAGTTGTCGAGAGTTGTCATCCAAAACATCTGGAGGCTGGGGAAGGCTGTGCTCTGTTGTCATTCATACACTGATCCTTTGAAGCAAGGTGCTATTATTTGCCATTGTACAGAAACCAGGCCATGCAGTGATGACTTGCTCAGAAAGCCACCTTGCGAGGCTGCTTGAGGGTTTGAGCCCAAGCTCCAATACTTCGTCCAATGAGTCACACTGGGTCTTTCTGCACAGCTCACGAGGGAGTTATTTCTATTAACATTCCGTTCTAATTTCAGTGTTTCTGATACACACGCACTATTGGTGCTTACCATTTAATGTACAATACCCCAAATGTAATATCACAGTGTGCCGTTATTTCCCAGGACACAGATGTAGAAGCCCTTTGTACTGCCATGAATAGATCTAGCTATGTACTCAATGAAGTTGTTCCCCACTGTAAACCTTGAACATTATTACATGCTCAAAATAATATACACAATCAGTGTTGTCCACACTGTCTGCTGGTAATTTAGAGCATAGCGTATATCCAGAGATGCTAGACACAATGTAGAAGCCCAGGTTGTTCAGGATTCTAGTGCCAGAGTGAAATACGCCCTCCAACAGTGGCTTGTTTACTGGCAGGCAGAGCTCAACCTTGAACTGAAAGGAGACGTAGTGCTCATGCTTGATCTGAACGTTTGCTTTGAAAGTCCGCCGCTCAGTGCGACTTGCAGAGCAAGTCAGTGATTTTCAGTGTTCCAGGAAGTCCCAGACTTGCTGAGGAGCTTATCATGAGTTCCCCAGCAGGCAGACAAATCCTCCTCGAGGACAGTTCACCAAGCGCCGCTGTCTCCCATTGCAGTGCGCAGCCGGAGGAAGGGGTGGAGTGCATTGTAAGCCATGTGGGACAAGGATGGCTAAATCCCCATCTGAACTGTGGCTCTCCCAGCCCCCAAACTCTCTTTATCCCCAGCCAGCACAGCCAGGAGGTAACGGGAGCTGCTCAGACAAGGCGTCCAGAGGGCATTCAGTTGGAGAACCCAGCCTAGAACATACACCCAGATTTCATGCCACGTGTTTTTCCCCAGACTGTGGGATAGTGGTTAAGAGTGCAGGGCTGAGGCTCAGGAGATCTGGGTTCTAGTCCTCATCTTGAAAGGAAAAAAGGCAGGATGTAAACATAAAATGTGAAAGAGCTGGAACTATCCAGGGGGTCCTCTTGCACTTATCTCCTCACTGTCACACATTTTTGGCACTAGTAGGGAAAAACAATAGCATGACGAATCACATGCCTTTAAACAGGAGTGATGTGGCTGGGGTCAGACTGCTCCTGTGGCCAGCGGTGCACTTGGTGAAGAGCATTTGAGCCGAGCCCGTCTCGGTGCGGTTGGCAGGGCAGGGCTATTCTGCAGAAGATTCACAAGGATTGTGCGTGTGAGGTGTGCCTTGGCCCTGCAGAGTTGTGCTTGTGCAAAAAGAGCCTTTTAAAGGATTTATCAAAGCTTGATAAGTCTCATGTTTACTCAGAAGTAAATCTCCACTGAACTAACTGGGGATATTCCTCCCAGAGGTTTAAGATGTTGACTTGGGTTGGGCAGACTCAAGATTTCCCTGCTGAATTCTGTCAAAATAATGGCAATAAATTTTTACGGAGAAGAAATGGATAGGAAATGTGCATTTCAGTGAACTGAAAGCAAGCATATTTCACTGCTAAGGAAACTTAAAGGAAGGGACAATAACATCCGCCTCCTGTTTAAAGGGCTTGGTTTTTTTAAACAAAATGTGCAACTTTTCCAATAGTATTTGGTTTTGATTGATATAAGTTGGATCCATTATATGTGACCTCAGTATGTTTGTGAAAAAGTGGTAATTTGCAGTTTGGTGTGCTTGGAATAATACAGCCTTGAGCACAAAGATTTTTACCGGTAGCTTTTGCCAGGCTGCAGGGGGTGCGGTTGACCCACAGAGGTACGTGCATTTTTTAAAATATCAGTCTACTGATGCTTTTTTTACAAGGTGAATGAGTGTGCATTTTTCTTGGTGGTACTAAGCAGAACAAAATAGTGCTGAGATCAGCTAATTTGTGCTGATCTGATAGAAAAAGAATGTCTTAACGATATTTCCAGTAAATTGCAATAAACTCACATAGCAAATGAATTTGAGTAGTTATTACTATTTCCACTTTTGGAAAACAATTCTGGATTATATTGTGACTTACGTACATTTTAATGTAAGCATTAGCACAATGTCTTGTCGGAGTTGCTGTCATTCCATGTACCTTTTAAAGTGAATTGGATGAAATATTAAAATTGGTGACTGAAATAAATGTGGAGTTGTTGTCTTTAAACTTTAGAGGAAAGTTACGTATGTTTGTGGGGACACTTTTGGACCTGATGAAAGGAAGTTGGAATCAAAAAAAACTCCCGCCACTAATTAAAGGGGGAAATACATGGAAGCTTCCAAAAAAAGAGAACTCCCTCTCCTGTTTGGGCCTTTCTCCCCATTTTTCTGGTGCTCCATGCCATTGTATATAATGAGGACACAAACCAAAGTAACCTAAGATGATGTGTCTGGGTGCTACATATCAGCTTGCCAATATCAGCAGGGAACAGCAGAATCCAGCCAGTCGTTTTCTGCCTGCTAAGGCCCTGCTCTGGGGATGGAAGAATGAGAAGTAAATGAGATGCACCAATTTTGCATATGCAGAACTGACATTTACAACCCTTTGCATCCTCTACATTTTCAGAAGCCTTTCTCATGTCAAACTGATGTCTTCCTAGCCAGTCAAGACAAGGAGGGTTTTAAAACCAGTATATCGTGCCTGTAATTTGAAAGGGGAAATAATGCAGCTTCTGGGAAGAGAAGGAAATGGGCTTGGGAGAAACCATGGCAAGATCCTTCATGAGTAACAATTCTATAGACCATAATTGCCCTAAAGGGGTGATGGGATACAGTCAAAAGCAATCTGTCCCACAGCTTTTTCTGGACGACACCTGATGAGACTTTCCAACTTGCATAAAGGTCTCACACAAAACTCAGTGTTCGCTCCCAAAATTCAGTGGCGATCTGCTGCAGAACCACAACTGGGTCAGGGTTAGCTTGAAAAAAAGCTAAATCGGGCCTGTTTACTGCTCCCTACCAGTAAATCAAAATGCGCCTGTTCTTTGCTCTTGTTTTGCACCCACAGCCAGAGCCACAGTGGCTGGGGGCACACATGGGTAGCAGGCTGCGTGCCCCCCTCTTTCTCCCTTTGTCCCCCTCATTCATGGCAAGCGGAGGAAGCAGGCAGCAACTAGAGTCCAGGCAGATACTTAGCTGATGATCAGTTTCCTCCACTCGGGCTCCCTGCAACTGTTTTTGCCTTCAGCTCCCATCAGTCCCGGCCAGCATGACCAAAATATCTGGAAGGCACCAGACTGGGGAAGACTCAAAATCCAGTGAGCTGCGGCTCCTGTGGCCAACTGGGCATCCATGTACTGCTGGCACACAAGCTGCTTAACCGAGCATATGAATATATGAACTCCCCACTGAGTGTTGGGTAGACGTGAGCCTGTGGACATTTTATAGCACCACCTGATTTCGGTCAAACGTGAATTATCCTTGGGGGAATCTTTTAGATTCCAATGCAAAGCTGCTACCATCAGGCTGTGAGGTCCCGGTGGCAGCAGCCCCTTTCTCCCACCACTGTGATGCAAGGCGCATCGCAGCATCGCCTGGAGAAATGCCTCCGTGGCACTGAAGTGGGGAGACACTAGACAATGGAGTTGGCAGCCACAGGAGGTTGTGATGGCTGCTGAGCTGGACAACTTTAGAAGGGGGAATCAGACACATGCATGGAGAAGGTGGCTACCAGTGGCTGCCAGCCATGATGGCGGCACAGAGCACCTCCAGTAGCATGACCCTAAACCCCCGCCGTGGGGAACATGAGTGGAATGTCCCGTGGTGCCTGTGAGTTTCTCGTGAATTCGGTTAGCTGCTTTTTGAGCAGAATGTTGGACTGGAGGGCCTTCAGGCTGCTCCCGCACAGTTCTTATGTTCTTGCAAAAAGGGGAATGGGCTGTTGCCCTTGGAAGAGCATCCTAACTATATATTTCAAGTTTGCAACAGCAAAAAGCTCTAGCAAGAGAGAGAGGGATGAGGTGAAGGAACATCTTGCCTGACCTGGGATGCTGCTGTAGTATGTAGCCTTTGCAGCAGCCCCGAAGTGGCTGCAAACAGGCAACAAGCTGCCCCTGCTCTTTCTTTGTTTACAGCAGATCAAGATGAAATAGTTCTGTCTGGCAGCCATGTCCAATTTCATGACTCATAAGTTAGATTGTTCATTTCTTCATTATTTACATGTTTTATAGTCATAGAAACTAGCCATGAATAAAATGATAGTGTATACTAGGCATTTCCTCGAAGTGTGCGTCTTTTAATCTAATACTGTAACAGAAATATTTCCAACACAGCAGTTAAAACACAATAATTAGCATCAGTCTCTGTTTGATGTTCACCAGATGGAGGAATGGCGCTTTTGATTCAATGTACGTGGACCAGCTATTCAGCAAGTGCATTTCTTAACTCAATGAAGATGCTATTCAATATCAATACTACTAAATAATTGTAGTAGTAATAGTAGTAGTAGTAGGAGGAGGAGGAGTAGTGATGATGATGAGCACCAGAGGTGACTAGCATGCTCTGCAATGCTACATCTATATCCGCACCACCAGATCTCTGATTTGATGAAGGTCCTGCTAGCAATTAGTTGCAAGTGTTGCAATAGGTATGAGATGGGCCAAACCATTGCCTGGTGAATCTGAAAGCAAGACAAAGAGCCCACATTCATGAATTCCCTTTGATTAGGATGAAGTAGTAAGAGGATGGAAAGATTAAATGAGTTGATGAATCTGTCATAATGCAAGAAGCCAAGGGAGAAAACAGAAGCTTATTAAGTTTTTTTTAAAGCCCACATCACTTGTAAGTATTGCATGAAAGGAAAAACATAAACCTAAACCATCAGTTGCAGCATCATTTTATTAGCCTACTTTGTTTTAATAAAATGCCTCTTAAGGGTGTGTTGAGTTTGTAGCCTGAAGACTACATGGCACTGTAGGCTGGACATGCACATGGTGGGCATGTCGTGAGCGGAGCTGGCTGGAGCCGGGGGTCAGACTAGATGGCCCGGGAGACCCCTTCTGACTCACTCTGTTTCTATGTTTCTTTGTCAATAATTCTTCATGTGATCAGTAAAAGCTCAGAGTTGCACATACAGACAGATTTAAAGGACAAGCCCTTGAGGCTTAGGTAGCATTCACGTTTCAGACCAGTAGATTGCTTGTTATAGTAAAAGCATAAATGCTTTTCAAGAACGCTTTTCATATAAGAGCTTAAAATAGTCTACCTTGGTAAACTATAATTCATGATCCAAGGTAGGGGAAGTGTCTATTTTATCCTAAGTGAGGGATTATACTGAAGTTTATTCTATTATCCAGAAGCATTTTGTTCTTAATGTTCAGTGTACTTGAAAACATAAGTGTGCATGTTAGTCCTGTATGTTCCAAGTACATAACAGGTGAGCAATTTAGACCATAGAAAGATACCTTATTCTGAATTAGATGGTACCACAGATCTACCCAGACAAAGAACAGATAAAACACCACCAGAAGACTCAATACTTCTATTTTAAAAGCAACACAACCCAGGCAAGAAGAGTGCTGTGGGACCAGACCAAGGATCTGGCTCATCAGCACCCTGTTCACAGACTCCCCCCCCCCCCCGCCCCCCGCTGTTTCTAGGAAACCTACCAACAGGGCTGGGACAACAGTGCCCTCCTGCCCAAGTACTGGTGCACGAAGGCATATTGTCTCTGGGACTGGGGGTAGCAAATAACCATCAGGACTAGCAGCCAGGAATTGCTTCCTCCTAAGTGAACTCCTTTCTTTCCTTTTAAAGCCACCCGGACTCTTGTGGCAGTGAATTCCAGAGTTCAATCGTGCATTTTGTGAGGACGCGCCCCCTTTGATCTGTCCTGAATCTCTCACCAATCAGCTTCATGGGATGACCCCATATTCTAGTGTTATGAAAGAGGGAGAAAAATGTCTCCTAATCCACTTTCTCCAAATCATGCATAATTTTGTTCCCCTCCATTATGCCCCCTCCTCTCACTTTTTTCTGGGATACACAATCCCAGATACTGTAATCTCTCCTTAATAGGAGAATTTCTCCCTTCTCTTGATTGTTTTAGTTGTCCTTTTCTGCCCTTTCCCAACTCTGCTATATCCTCTTTTTTGGGATGGGGTGGGAGGGACTGACCAGAAGCGCACACAATATTGCAAATAGATCACATCATACGGTATGATATTAGCAGTTCTGTTTTCAGTCCTTTTCCTAATTACGCCTAACACAGAATTTGCCTTTTTCACAGCGGCTGCATTTTGAAGCATTAAGATGGGCAGTGAAGCATTAAAACAACAGCCATTTAAAATGATACAGAGCACCACATGTATTAATTAAATGTACCTTGAAATAAGAAAGTCTTCAATGGCCATTTAAAAGTCAGTGAATTAGCAGGCCAAAAATACACCTCCCCAGGGAAGACGTGTTGCAAAAATAGGGCTGCCACTCTGAAAGCAAGCCCCGTCTCTAATTCCTGACTGCCCTAATACATCTTAGTGGGTCCACCAGCAGGACTACTTCAGACCAGTCATAAGGCCTAGGGAGTTTTGTATATGGGTGCAGGTGACCCTTTGAATATGGTCCCAAAGTCCCTGGAATTAAATGGTCTCCACAAGCACTTTAAGTTGAATCCAGAAACCAACGGGCAGCCTGTGCCCAGTTCTGGGTACCAAGATATAAGAAAGATGCAGGAAATTTAGAAAGGGTCCAGAAGAGGGCAACAAAAATGATCCAGGTTTGGAAACACCGCCCTATGAGGAGAAGTGGGCATGTTTAGTCTTGAGAGGAGAAGACTGAGGGGGACATGATATCCCTCTGTAAGTACCTCAAAGGCTGTCACAAAGAGGAAGGTCAAGATTTTGCTGATAGCAGAGTGCAGGGCATGGAATAATCACTTCAAGTTGTGACAACCCAGATTCAGCTGGACATCAGGAAAAGCTTCCTCACTGTCAGAGCAATAGGATAGTGGAACCAGCTGCCCAGAGAGGCGGTGGGCACTCCCACACTGGAGACATTCAAGGTGAAACTGGACAGCCATTTGAGTGGGATGGCGTAACCTGGTGTCCTGCAACAGCAGGGGGGTGGACCCGGTGGCCTTCATGGCCCGTTCCAGCTCCACTATTCTATGATTCTAATACAGCAAATGTTCTCTATTTTCCCAGTCCCTGC